TATATAGTTCGTGCACTGAGGAAAACATTTCAAACATTATTAATTTTCAGACTTTGTTCTGTTTTTGCAGCCTCGCCCTTCTGATTGAAAAATACTCAAATATGAATTAATGTATAGTGCTTGGACTACAGAAAAGCAAAAGAGGTTTAAAATGTAGGGGTTTTACGTGGGGGGGGGGGGGTAATCTTTTTTTTAAATATAAGAGTGCTATACGTCCCTCTTGAAACATTAAAAGCGGTGTGACCAAACCTTTTTAGCGACTGTTATGTGAGTCATTACGCTTCAAGCTGCTACATGGTTAGATCCTAAGCTTACAAAAAATATGTAATATATTATCATGATTAATGCTATGGGCTGATCCAGACTAAGGGATTAGTGTTCAAGGCCAGATATTATACTTTATATTGATCTGATTATAATCCACAATTAATTCAACCTAAAATTGTGTTCCCGGCTTTTGCATGGGCCCTGTGCTCGATTCGTCGCGTTGTAATAACTGTGTTCTGATAAGCGGGTTTAATTAGGCAGTTTGAAAACGTAGGCTACTCGTAATCCCACCAAGCCGCATTATAATCAAGCATGAGATTGCGTGTTGGGGACAGAGGCGTACGGACTCTTTGGAAAACATGCTTATTTATGGCTACGGACAGCATAGCGCTTACTTTAAGCCAGGTTTGAATAAATCGGATAGAGGTCCGTGATAGCTTCACACGTACCGGTTACATTAAAAATCTTTTTACTTCTTCTTTTTTTGAGTCTTTTCTCTTTTTTTTTCAATTCAAATTTTGCAGAAGTTGTTTAAATTTTAGGAATTATTCCTATTTTATTTTATTGCACGGATTGGGGGAGGGGGAGGGGCTTTTTGATTCTTCCTTACTTTTTTATGCATCTAATGTGTGATTAATCTCCCACCTCTCGTTGAAACTAATAGAAAGCCTTTCATTATTGCAGTTTTTCCTCCCGCTCACTCATGAATAAACCTGTTTTCACGAGTTTGTGCTCCGCAGTCTCCACATTCATTCTCTTGTTCGATTATACAGCTTAGTGGGATTACGAGTACGTTTTCAAACCGCCTAATCAAAACTATTTATCACAAAATAGTCACTATAATTATCTCCTTGTAGCTCTCTCTCTCCGCGCCCGCCCCCCCCCCCCCCTCTCTCTCTCTCTCTAAAGGGATGGGGTGGGGGTGGAGAGGGGTGTGTCTATATTTGTCCACTGTGTTTCCGAGCGAGACAAATGGTAAACAGAATCAAACACGAAGTAGAACGTAAAAAATGAGCTTCTTGTTAGGCCTTCTCAGTACCTGAGGAGGCCAAGGCTTCTAGAGTTGATCGGGTCTTTCCTAGTTTGCTTCGCTGCCACCCCCACCCCCAGCAATTCCCTTTTTTTATACCGTGAAAATCCCCTTATCCTCACACTCACATGACCGGGTAGGGAAGGGAGAAAAAGGAGTGCACTGGGTGGAGATGCGGGGGGTTAGGGGGGGGGGGTCGTAAAGGAGTGTAATTCTTGGCTCTGTGCCCATGACTTTACGACGACAATACTCCCCCATAGTAAAACTCGTGTAGACCGAGGACAGATCATTGCTACATTGCTATTCTTTGAAAGGCAACGAAGCGTATCCCCGTCAGTTTACACAGCTTGCAATACCTGCATGTCTTTGCATTAAAATTGGCCCAGCCCACTTGACCCTCCTCAACCATTCACTATTGTTCATGATTATAGGATGGCCGAACCAGTACTTTTCCGTTCAATGGAACTTGTAGAACGGCTGAGTTAGAGCCATATATGAATAATATTTCCAATAGTAAGCGTTAATCTGAGTCAGTATTGCCAGGAATAACAATGTGATTCAACTACAAAGGGCCGCACCACTGGAATTAAGATAAATACGTCGAGTCTTACACGGTTTACCATAAATGGCCGTGGGAAAATATAGCAAATCACGTGATTGTACGGGTGAATGAAGTGGCCAGTCCCATTGCGTGACGTCAGTCTAAAAACCACAACCGTAGTATCAAGGGCATTGCTCCAGTGTGTTTGGTTTGTGTTGTCAAAACAAGATGCGTTCAGAAAACAAAACATAATCTAGTCCACAAAATTCAAATATAGGCAGACAGCTACATTGTAGCTATGAATTTCTCGAAAACAAGTCTATTAAGAAACAATTAGCCTCGACTCTGTGATAACCCAGTGTATGTGTGGCGAAAATCGATCGCAACTTGCTGCGCAAACTTTCTTTCGCGACGGGTCACGCGGCTCATAGCTCAGCCAATGAGAATCGAGCAAGAACAGGCAAGCTGCCAGGGGCAAATCAATACGCCCATTCAGTATGTTAGGTGGAACGTTCATTCATAACCGGGCAGTATCACGTGAAATGCGTTCATTTACTACGCGTACGAGTTGTGACACAGACTGTTCTTGGCTGCACTAATGCCATGAGCTTATGCTCACAACGTAAGTGTTCACCACGGAGTTATTCCTCCCTTTATTTCGCTTCCCTTCCAGATCACAAACTGCTGCACTCGGCAACCCGACCGTTGTGACGAGATGGAAAACGTAAGAGGACTGAATGTAATGGAAGTCACAGCTGTATTGGCTTCAGAAAAATCTTGTCGTGTTCTTGTCTTAGACTGCCGTCCGTTCATCGCTTTCAACCACAGCCAAATCGCCCATTCTGTGAATGTCCACTGTCCACCCATTCTAAAAAGACGATCTGGTGGATTTATTGCCCTGGAAAACATAGTGCCTTGTGTAGAAAAACGATCTCAGCTGTTGAGCGGTGCGTTCCCAGATGTTATAGTTTACGACGAGCGCACACAGGAGCTGAACCAAGCTGCAAGTGATTCGAATATTTTATCTGTGATTAAAAGTTTGCTCAAGCAAGTGGAAAATTTGAACGTGAGATACATCGTCGGTGAGTATTTAGATCAAAGCTAGCCTCTGCTTTATGTTGTCAGCCCCGCCCCGAACCAGTGGTCCGAACTTCAGTCACTGAAATGCAGGGGCTCGGTCAGTCTCGGTAATCTGGTTGTGTTGAGAAATCAGGAAAGTATAGAGAGAAGTCTAGAATCTAATCTAGATCTAGATGTCTAGATCTAATCTAGATTCTAGATATAGATTCTAGAATCTAGATCTAGACTCTAGACTAGATTTTCTAGATCTAATCTAGACTCTAGATATAGAATCTAGATATAGATTCTAGATCTAGATCTAGATTCTTTATCTAATCTAGATCTAGATGCTTCAAGCTGAAAGCTTTTATCATGGAAAAATAGACGTGATTATCCTTTCCCTCATGTAGACCTCTATAGTCCTCCCGAAAATCCCAGTCCTAGCCTAATCCTAATATAGATCTAATTATTTCTCCCAACTACTCTACCCCCAGCCCCAAGTTAGCCTACGCAACCAAGCACAACACTGGCCTATAAAAATACCTCCACCCCACCCCTTCATTACAACGAGTGCGTACGAGAGTTTTTTGACTTGCCCCTGAATAAATTACAAATTCTTTACCACAGTTCAACAAAGTGAACTTGTTTGTAGGCCTACTTGGTGTATAAAAGTGGGACACACAAGCCAAACAACGATGGTCCTCGTAATATCCTACGTCTCGTACCCTTGAACCAACGCCTCATTTCCTCCCCGGCTCCCCGCCTACGCAAGTTTAGGCCTGCGACTGTTTCCCCCTCTGCTGTCTGTAGCTAGTGAGGAGTGGAGTGATGGAATGTGTTTGTTGTAGCCTATGGGAAAAGGATTTCCGCTCAAAATCTAAACAAGCAAAAAAACTAGATCTAGATATATAGATATAGAATCTAGATATCTAGGTCTACATGGCACGTCTTCATCTAAATCTAGATTAGATCTAGATTCTTAGATCTCTAGATCTAGATCTACCTGGTGTTCGTCTCTCTCTCTCTCTCTCTCTCTCTCT